ACTCCTACCCGCATGCACTGTTCGGTCTGTGTATACAGCTAAGGGATGAAACACAGACTGCATCATAAAATGTCTTTTTGTACATGACACCTAAATCGAATCCTTCTACTCTACTATTTATCCCTGCCAAGGGTATTCCATGCCTTATTACAAATTAATGCGCCAACTTGCTGCTTGTAGGCATAGCACAGTGGGAAGTTGCACCGTCGTCCGCTAGATTGAGTATTCAACTCTGCCATTGGGCACCTAATCCCTTTACGATTTATCCATTCGTCTTGATGGCTAATTGGTACTGGTATTTGCTACGGAGTCAAAGCGGCCATCAGTTGTTTGCCCGGCAACCCTCAAAAAAGCATGGGCGGATTCAGGGCGGTTTCTTGGGGAGTAGGCGGAGGGAGAAAGAGGTTGGGCGATTTTTCTCCTCCTCCCACCCTATCCCGCTAGTAGACACTAAATTGCTGCAGCGACCGGGTAGGGGAGGGGGAACTCCTGGAGCTGCTCGGGGCGACGCGAAGTTTCAGCTTTCAAGCTTTTTTTTCCCGGATTAGTGATTTTCGCGCCAAAATTTCCACGTGCGCGTGCGTGGACCTCGGGTGTTTCTAAACACCTGATATAGGAAACATTCCACGAAAGTTTCAGAGTTTTCTACAGTAGAACAGCTGCTATCTGAGCCCCTGAGGGAGGCGAAAGACCCTCTCCCCTCTCTCTGGGTCGCCATTGCAAAAAAGTCAGTCATCGGAGCTTTGCTGGCTGTTGATGTCTACTCTAACTCGAGTTATTTTTCAAGTACTGCCGCATCTCATAAAGAGCAAATACGGGTCAGATTTTGACTTTTGAAAAAAAAAAACTCACTGCATGCGAGCTGTAATGAACTTTTCATGGCTAGGTATGTCTTGGGTAGCTTCGGAAGAAAGCACAAATGGATTGCTGGCATATCAGTCGTTGGTAGATCGAAATTACAAGCGTTATTTGTTGAAAGACAATGACAATGATCTGTGCTATTTGCGACATCCAAGTGGCGTTGTAGTGGTCACACTCGATAAAAATCACGAAATTATGGGCAAACCGATTCGAACTATCGAATGGCACATGAAGAAAAACAAGGGCGTGGATCGGAGTAAGCAGAAAGTCACTGGCAAAGCAAAAAAGGTACTTTTTTTTAAAACAAATCATAAACTGTTACAGTTTTGAGTCTCTGGTTTTGGCAGTGTCGTCCTAAATTTTTGCATTTTGCAATCGTTGGGCGGAATTTAAGTAGGGGAGTTTTTATAATAGCTAGAATTTGAAACATTTCATATTTTTATTCCCCCAGGATTTTCCAAATCCCATTTTTATATCGAGTTTTGTGGCAATCGGAATCGTAAGTGTGCTGCAAGCCGTTGGAAGAGTTCAGCTTCTTATTCCAGCTCTGCTGTAGACCATTAGAAGCGTTCAGGTTCTTATTTTTGGTGAAATTGAATAATTTAATTGCAAAAAATACGATTTATACGTGGTTCCTGTCAGTAACAGAATAAAATTTATACAGCATTCATACGAGTAAATGACCAAAATTAATGTGAATAACTCAGTAGGATTCATATGAGTAACTGGGCAGAATTCATATGAGTTACAAAACCAGTTTTATGCAGAATTCATGTGAGTAATGCACTGAGGTTTGTAGAGGATTCATATTTTCCACGAAATATCTTCGCAAACATCAACTTGCTATAAAAAGCTCATCTCGTTTGTTACTTTTTTTTGACACCCAAATCGTGATTATCTGTTTTAATACATCCCTGTAAAAATTTATCCACACAGCTCGTACTGCTTTGTAATTTTCTTATTAAAAAACTATCTGGTCTTTTTGAGTTTAATTCTTTGAGGCTAAAAAGGAATTAATGGCTTTTTTAAGGGTGGTCTAGCGCTTGTACCCGAAACAAAACTGTGTGTTGTGCGCTGCGAAGATGGAACCGAATATGTGTTGCGTGCTGGCATCAAAGCTCTCTTGATCGAGGTCAATGAAAGGCTCACCGATGATCCAAATTTGATGCGCAGAGCTCCTGAGAATCAGGGCTATATAGCAATTATCATGCCCTATGCAAACGAACGAAGACAAGCTCCCGAGGACTTTGTCGAGAACGAAGATAAATTCAGCTAATTTTTTCCCAAATTACTGGTTGTCTTTTTTGTCTTTGCCCTTTATTGTTTTGATGTGTACAGGGCCGTCTGTTTTGTGGCGTTCGAATTTATTGACTTTGACAGCTTCCAGTTTTTGGTCTTGGCGATTTACGCCAAAATAGCAACTGTGAGTTATCTCGGGAAGTAAGTTACCGTGGTCATCAAGACTACTGCCGTGAGCTCCAGTGCTCCACGAAGCGTCAGCAGTCGGAAATTGTGAAATACAAACTTGGTGTTATGCCATCTGCTCTGTTTTGTGTCACAAAGTTGTGCAGAACGCATATTGTCACGATTCTGTCTGTCTGTGTATGTGTGTCTGTATGCGTGTACGTCCCCGGTTCGTTTTTTCATTGATGAAGCGTAAAAATTGTTATATTTCCGTGCGGCAAAGTTAATAATTGGATAATTTATGCGTTTTGCTGAACAGTCATTGCTCCGGAATTTCTACCCGCAATATTTTCACGGAAATGTAGTGCTGCATTTATCCGGCAGTCATGAATCCCAGCATTAACATAGTAAGAAAGGCAGAATAGTCTCTCGCACAAACAAAGTTAGTGCTTCTCTGCCGAAGTAGTTCAGTGATTTTAGTACCACGGTGAATGTGGGAATAATTTCTGTTGCGCTTCAAAGGAAGTTCTTGTTCGCAAAACTTCACACTTATTCATGCTATTTTCGGTCGTCAGATCTTAGTCCAGCCACTGTCAGGGAAACTCTCGTCTCACCCTTTTCTCTGGGTGGTTCGGATCGGCAGAATTACGCTGGTACAAGATGAACTACCGCTGTTCTAGTCGCCCAAATCGGGCCACCACCGCTTTATTAGCACAAGACCCACTACCAGCCCAGCAAACCAGCCACCAGTAGGGATAGTCTTGGAGATAAACTCTGGTATGACGAACGGCTACTTGGCGTAACCAAAGCGCTTCTTCGGTGACCAACCGGCACATTTCGCCAATTCCGTCAAGAGTGAGGAAAACCGGGCGATAAGGGGTTGGATCGGTCCTATCGCCCTTACAATTTCAGTGAATATCGAACGTTTAAACATGAAGAACCGCAACACATTTTCAAATACAAAAACAAAAAAAAGCTTTAAGATGTTGGGGACGATAACCGCCGTCGGTAACATCACGAATATGTCGTTATCACTATCCATGATCTTCAAAGTACGAATTCTTCGGCGCTGCGGACAACCACCGTAGCTTCTTCCCATTCTTACAGTTGCCCACCCCCATGTAACCCCCTTCTTATTACTAATTCAGTTTTGTATAGCAAAAATCATTGCGCAGGTTTTTTAATGAATAACTTATTGTATTGTGTCCAGCTAGGACAGCTCACAAATGTGAAAATGAGTTGGACATCTTCTCTAAAGGTAAGTCTTTCTGTCCCTATAAAAACCCTATTTTCGCGCATTCTAGATCTCATTTCGGTCTTCAGATCGTTTATAGCTCTTCGTCTACAGTTCTCTTACTTTCGATCATCGAGTTTCCAAACTTGGAAATCACTCTGCATGGAATGACATGTCGAGGCTTCTTAGATATTCGAACCATAGTCATATTTGAGGCAGCAAGGAAGTTGGTGTGTGTATGTGTTTGATTATGCAAAAGGCAATTCAAAAGAAATTTCAGACGAAAAAATTGCGCTGGCCAATGTAATTTTCATCCTTCGAACTTATTCTAGTTTCTGCTGCATCCTTTTTTCCCATAGTAATAGCTAGTTTTAGGGAAAGATTTTATCATCTAGAAATGATAAAGAAGACGCAGGCTATTGACAGATACACTGACTACACCACTGAATGAATGAAGGGGAATTAGTTTTGCGAGCAAACAAAAATGATAAACTGGTGAAAAAGTTGCAAAAATAATGCATACGCTACTAATGAAAAACTTGGGTCTCTTTGATGTGCCTCTGCATCACCACTAAAATAATACATCCCCTTGTTCCATAATTTCGCTTCCATAACTTAGTTTTAGTGCTACAATGGTTGAGGGCACTGAATAGTAATATCCCCCTGACCACATGGTTTGGCAGTCCTAAATGTCGCGAAATAGCGCGAAAATAGAAAATCAGAAATTAAAAAAAAAAAAAAAAGATATTCGTGAAATATGGTTGCCGGTTTTCATCCGCCTGCCATTTATCTCAGTCAATTTTCTCATGTTTAATGTGTTTAAATTGTTTCCCACAATTCTTGTATTTAATAGTTTTATCCTTTTCTCTTAAGATTCCAGCGGGGGGAGGGAGGGATGGGACAAGGACTTCGCCTCTCTTTTCTCTCAGATTCATTCGTTTCGGCGGGCTCGACACGGAACGATTGGTCACGTCGAGTGTCCAAGGAAGCTCTATCAGATGTTGTCCGTGGAAAAGGTTGTGGTTCCTTAACCGTCCAAAGCCTAAATAACGGGCCGAAAAAATAACTGTGTCCGGAAAAACAGGCAGCCAGCTGAAGGAAGTCCCGAAACAGTTACTGATTGGATTCTACGCCTTTATTATCAAGTAAATCATTACATATCCACCTTTATTATTATGTAGATATGTAGATGATTTACTTATTTACTTATATATCAGCAATATATGGACATGATATTGAAATAAATATCACTGGGCATGGTAAGACAGTTAACTTCCTAGACGTCACCTTTCCATATGATACGCTTCGTACTACACTTTACAATAAGACAGACTGTTTCAATTTTTATGTAAATAGGTATTCATATTTAGACAGCAATATTCACCCACAGATACATACTATTATTATATACAGTCAACTTGTTCGGTTTCTTCGGCTAGAACTCACTATAGAAGGTTTTATCTATGCAGCTACTACACTGCTTTCTTTATATCACCAATGAGGATACAATAAATATACGCTTTTGGGTAT